TTTGTTAAACATAAAGTGACACAGCTTCAGATTCTTTGCTCTTATTTTTAAAATTTTTAAAAAAGCTTTCTGGCCACGTTGTCGACACATTTGACTATTTTTTCTTTTAACAGATTTTCTTTTACATGTAAATCAGCTAAATGATGATTTAGTGTTTTTCGTGCTCCTCTGAGACACTAAACTGAAGATTTCTGGGACCAAACGTGACATTTTTCACCGTTTTCTGACCGTTTATCGACCAAACTCTGAATTCAGATCCCATCCAGGTCCTCACTGTGTCTATAGTGGAACCAAAACAACAAACTATTCAACCACAAAGCCGAGACGTGGAGCACCTTCCAGAACCTCAGCTGTGCTCTACTGTGAGTGAGGCTTCAGCTTTCTCACCGCCGTGAAGAACATGGTGAAGAAGTAGACCATGGCCTCCATGTGGAAGCCCCTCTTGGCCGCCACGCTGGCCGTGGGCAGGAACACCAGGCTGCTGACGGTGGGGAGCAGCATCTTGGCGATGAAGGCGCCCATGATGGAGGAGAGGAACGTCGGTCAGACTAAATCCTGGAGGCTTCAGGAGCTCCTTGGCCCGACGGCGTTGAGCTCAGAGTGGACGGAGGCGGCAGCTGTCCACCGAGGCCCTTTAAACTTTAAATGTCTGCAGCGTCATGGCCGGGCAGCTGCTCTGCTGAGAGGTGGGAGGGTCTGGGCAGAAGACCTGACGCTGGGCTCAGAAGGAACCAGCAGAACCCAGCTTCCTCTTTATTATTGCTCTATTGATCGTGTTTCTGCTGAAGGACGCTGCAGCTTTAAGGTCAGGATCCGTCCAGCTCATACCTGAGTCCAGTCTGCAGCGCTTCCATCCTCTCCTTCCAGTCCACCACACTGTAAAACATTCAGGATTTAAAATGTTTTTACCATAAAAGTCTGACTTTATTAATCCCAGCAGGACGTCCAGCTGTTACAGCAGCAGCATGAATATCCAACAAAGAGACCACACAAGACATGAGGGTGTAAAATAAAGGTTAAAGAAAATAAAATAAAATAAAATAAAATAAAATAAAATAAAATAAAATAAAATAAAATAAAATAAGATGAAAATAAAGAAAATATAACAGATTAACAAGAACATATGAGCGAGATGCAGAAATGTGCTCTAATGTGATCTAATGACATGAAACCGTCTTTGTTTAGTAAAATTACAGAGAAATAAATGAACAGGTCAGAAATGAAAATAAAATAAAGTTAAATAAAATTAAAATACAAGAAACAACTTTGAATAATGTTCACATCAAAAATAATATTTTTAAAATGCTGATTCATTGTTTGACTGTAAAATTATGTTTTTTTAAATTACTACAATTAAATAAAAAAACAATCTCATTATTTTACAGACATTTGCTTCAATTTGAAAGAACAAATTCTGAATATTAAAGATTTTAAAATAATCAATAATTCTACTGATGCTGTTTGTGTCTCGTTTAGTTTCTTGTTTTTGTCGTTTTGTGTCTCGTTTTTCTTTTGTGTCTCAATTTTGTGGTTTTGTCTCGTTTTTTCATCCCTTTGTGCCTCATTTCTGTCTTTTGGTTGATCGTATTTGTCAATTTGTGCCGTTTTCTGTCTTGTTTTTGTCGTTTTGTGACTCATTCATGGTTTTTTTGTGTGTTTTTGTTATTTTGCGTCTAGCTTTTGTTGTCCTGGGACTTGTTTGAGTCATTTTTCTAGTTTTTTTGTGGCTCATCTGTCTGATTTTGTTCTTTTTTTCTGTTTGTCTCATTTTTGTCATTGTGAATTGTTTTAATCTAATTTTTCTTTTGTGTCTCAATTTTGTGGTTTTGTCTTGTTTTTTTTTCATCCTTTGTGTCTCATTTGTCTTGTTTGGTCGCTCGTATTTGTCAGTTTGTGCCATTTCTGTCTTGTTTTTGTCGTTTTTGTCTCTCATTGGGACAGTTTTGTTTCCTTTCTGTCGTTTTGTGTCTCTTTTTTGTCGTTTTTTTTAATTTGAAAGAAAAAATTCAGTACATTAATAATTTTACTGATGTTTTGTTTGTTTACAGACAACAATGATCAAAGTCAGAGAAAAAAGTTTTAATTCGCATGTCAACAAAAAACAAAAACCAGAGGAAAACTGTAGCGACGCCTCAAAAATCTGTGTTTTTCTTTTTAAATAATAATAATAATTAGTTTGACTGTAAAAGAACATGAAAATCATCAATAAAAAAACATCGTTTGATAAATATCTGTTGTTTAAAAGAGGAACGAAGTGAATCAACGTTTTGGTTAATTACAGATAAAATCCAGTCAAAGGACAAAATAAATAATCACTAAATAAGACAAACAGCAGGTCAGCACAGCAGAGGACGGTTTGTTGTGAAGCTTCGCTGAGGTCCAAACAATCAGAAACACAATCCAGATACCAGAACCAGAACCAGACGAGAAACAAACAGGAAGAGACGTCCAGTGAGGCTCACAGCGTCCAGATGTGACACACGAGATATAAAACCATGAAAACATGACACCAGATCAGCGAGCTGTGCCGGAGCGGGACCATAAAGTCACCACAAGTACGTGTGATTATGCGAAACATCCGCAAAATGCACAAGCGGAGACACGAGAGGCCGAATAAATCAGTCTGGGTGCCACATCTGTGCCCAGATGTTCCCAGACGCTCCACTTTGTCTCCGCTGCAGGAAACAAACCCCCACATTCACATTCATGCTCAAATCCATCCTACAGGCAGGTAGCTGGGCCTCGTGTAGCCATCTGACGCTGTCCTGTGATTTGTTATCAAATGTAGAAAACTTCATCAGTCCAGGCTTTAAAATATAAAAACAAAAATCAGCTGCTTGTCTTGTTTTGTTATAATACATTAAATATTTTTAGATTTTTTTCAATTAAATTTTTTTTTTTTTTTAAAGCATGCGACTGTAGAATTATTTTTTATAAATATTTTACAGATGTTTACTGTTTATTTATTTATTGAAAGCAAATTTACAGATAATTCCTTTTAATTTGTTTTGTATTTTTGCATTGTTTCCAATTTTTCATGTATTTTTCTGGCCTCCTTTTGTCCAGATTTCAGGGTTTTTAGTGTTTATTTGTAAAAAACAATCTGAAAACCCAGAGAACAGCTTCAGACACAACATCATGTGACACTCTGCTCACTGGGCTCATGATCATTTCTTATATTTTCATAACTTGTTGTTAAACAGTGTTTTTGTTTCTGTGCCTGAACACCAGCTGTCCTGTGCTGACCGTCCAGCTTCCATGTGGGCTGGTTCCTGATCAGCGTCTCGGTCCTGGTGGACCTGGAGCAGCAGCTGCTCTGCTCTCAGCTGCTCCAGCTGCTCCAGGCCTTCAGCTCCACGCCTCAGATTCTCCGAGTGCTTCGGTAACCGGAGACCGAACCACGCCCTCTGCAGGGGCGCACGTATCCCTCCACCTGAGCTCCTGCTGCGCTCACTGGTTCGTACGTCACCGAGTCATGTGATCAGCGCCGTGATCCGTGATGTGGTTTTGTGTCGGTAGTGATGTTTGTTTTGTCATCGTTTGTCTCCTTTCTGTCATGTTGTGTGTTTTTGTTGTTTTGTGTCTAGTTTTTGTTGTTCTGGGCCTCATTTGTCTCGTTTTGTTTCTTGTTTCTGTCGTTTTATGTCTCATTTGTGTCTCATTTTTGTTGCTTTGCCTCATTTGACTCGTTTTGTTTTTGTTATTTTTCTGTTGTTTTGTGTCTCATTTTTCTTTTGTGTCTCATTTTTGTCGTTTTGTGTCTAATTTCTTTCATTTGGTCGATTGTTTTTGTCAATTTATGTCGTTTTCTGTCTTGTTTTTGTCGTTTTGTGTCTAGTTTTTGTTGTTCTGGGCCTCATTTGTCTCGTTTTGTTTCTTGTTTTTGTTGTTTGGTGTCTCATTTTGTTTTGTTCTTTTGTCTGTTTGTGCCTCATTTTTGTCATTTCAAATTATTTTATGTCTCATTTTTCTTGTGTGTCTCAATTTTGTGGCTTTGTCTCATTTTTTTCATCCCTTTGTGAATCATTTGTCTTGTTTTCTGTCTTGTTTTTGTCATTATTTTATGTTTTTGTTATCTTGCGTCTAGCTTTTGTTGTCTTGGGTCTTGTTTGCGTCATTTTTCTCGTCTTTTGCGGCTCATTTCTGTCGTTTTGTTTCTTGTTTTTGTCGTTTGGTGTCTCACTTGTGTCTGGTTTTTGCTGTTTTGTCTCATGTGGTGTCTCATTTTTGTGGTTTTGTTTCGTTTTTTTCATCCTTTGTGTCTCATTTGTCTTGTTTGGTCGCTCGTATTTGTCATTTTGTGCCGTTTTCTGTCTTGTTTTTGTCGTTTTGTCGTCTCTCATTGGGACAGTTTTGTTTCCTTTCTGTCGTTTTGTGTCTCGTTCATGTCATTTTTTGTGTTTTTCTTATTTTGCGTGTAGTTTTTGTTGTCTGGAGTCTAGTTTTCTCATTTGGTGCTTCATTTTTGTCGTTTTATGTCTCGTCTTTCTTTTGTGTCTCGTTTTGTGGTTTTGTCTCGTTTTTTTCATCCCTTTGTGTCTCATTTTTTGTAATTTTGTGCCTCATTTGACTCGTTTTTTTTTTTGCTTTTGTCGTTTGGTGTCTCAGTTGTTTTGTTTATTTTTGTCTGTTGTCATTTTGTTGTGTTTTTGTTATCTGGGGTCTTGTTTGTGTCATTTTTGTCCATTTTGTGCCTCATTTCTGTCGTTCAGTGTCTCTTTTTTTGTCATTCTTCTGTT